AGAAGAGCTCCCCGATGTTCCGGGAGGGTGTCGGAGGGTGCAACAGGGACCGCGAACTTTAGGGTGGAGGTGGCACGCGAGAGAGTCGAAGCTTGGCTCCGCCTCCGGCACGCGACCAGCACGCGACCACTGCCATCGACCACGCCGCGCCTTTGGTCTAGGCCACCGCCACCGTCACCGCCGCCGCCACCACCACCATTGCCACTACCACCACCACCACCACCACCGCCACCACCACCACCACCACCACCGCCACCACCACTACCATCACCACCGCCGCCGCCGCCACCACCGCTACTTTGCCGTTACAGTTATCACAGGTTCTTCTTCTCATCTCGAGCTTCACCTACGATTACGCAAAGACCAACCCACAATTCGCATCATTTTCGACTCGATCTCAAATGTTTTTTTTTTTTCACTTTTCATTTCAATGATTTTTTTTCTTCTTCTTGTAATGTGCAATCTATTATGCAAACGCTATCAATGTTTCTTGTATAGTTTATTTTATCGCAAAATTTATTCCTTTTCTTTTGTTAAATTGTAAAATTCGTTTCATTTGTTTTTTCAATACACGTATCAAGTTCACATTTATTTTCCTTATTTCTCTTTATTTTTCTCAAATTTTTTAATTTTAACGTGTCAAAATCATTTCATATGATTCGAATACAAACGATACGTAAAAATGATTCAATCTTACGAAATGTCTAATTATGTCAATTCGATCATTATCATTAGTGATAAGTAGATGTGATTTTTTTTTCATTCATCCTTTTTGTTTTTTATACTTATTTTTTTCTTTTCATTTTTACCTATAAACTTTTATATAATCACTTTTTTTATCGATCAATCAATCTATTAATCGATCGGTCATTTTATTGGTCAACGAACAAACTATATAGTAGCAAATCGATCGATTAAATAACCAATTAGTCAATCACTTAAACAGGTTATGCGCTTTGTCTTTTCCCAATCTTGTACCATCGACTTCTTACTACTATTCTATTCTACTCTGGCGTAATCAATTTCAAACTTAAATGAAATACTCTGGTGAAATATGAGGCTCATTTCCGTCTCCCCACCTCCATCTTTTTTTTTTCTCGCTCAACTTTTTCCATCTCCTCAATTTCTTTTTTTGTTTCGCGTCACTCCTGAATTACCTCGTTCAATTTTTTTATTTTTTGCCGCAATTTCAACTACTATCGTTTATTTCATATCTTCTTTTTTTTTTCTTTTTTTTTTTTTTTTTACGTCAATAATAACTAAATCGTTGACAAGAAGGAGGAAAAGAAAAAAAAAGATATAGTATACGTTTTATTAGTATTATACAATGCGTTGAATTATGATCGATTAATTATACTCGACAAAAATAATGTGTACCGATATATTATTAAAAATTAAATATCATAAATAACTAAAAATTAAATACCATTTAATGCCAAACTGCATAATTATAGATATTCTATTGATAAAAATTCATTTTCTTCTACATTGATCTTCGTATCTTGATTCATCTCTCAATTTTAGAACGAGCTCACTGTCATCTATTCTAAGGGAAAAGAATTATTATTATTACTTGAGATAATTAATATTGAAAAAAAAAAAAAAAAAAAAAAAGAAATTAAAATATTCGATTATTCGAATGGTTTTTTTTCTCAGGATGAGGAATAACTCGATGCGTTCTCTTTTTAATGGATTAAAACTAATTTTAATGCACTTTTTTTCTCCCCATATCACGTATGAAAAAGGAAAAATGAAAAGAGGAAGGGGAGAAAGAGAAAAAACGAGAGCTAGGGCGAAAAAGAGAAAAAAAAATTAAGATAATCTTTTTGTACATTCTAGAAATTAATTTTACAAATCTCATTATTCTATAAATTCTAATTATTCATTTCAATTTTAATTTCAATTTATATATTATATATTAAATCATATATTATTCGTTTTGATACTATTTAAGTATATTTTATTACTACTATTTAAATATAAAATTTATCGATTATAAAATATAAAATTTTCTGTCATCATTTTTGTCATCTTATTAGTACATTATTTTCTTATTTCTTTTTTTTTTTTTTTTTTGCCTCATATCTACGAGAAGAAATTCATTATATGGAAAACGACAATATACATATGTGATATAAGAATTAAAAACAAAAGAATAAAAAAAAAGAAAAGAAAATAAAATAGCAAATAAGATGTAAATAAGAAGATAAATTTTTCATTTTCTTACCTATTATTTACTTTATCATTTAACTTTTTGTGATATAGTAAGGTAAAAACAGAGAATTAAAGAAATTTTCAACATCTTTGTTTGTCCAATCGATAAGAGGAAAATGTACAAATTGTGTGGAATTTTCATTTAATCGTTCAAGATTATTATAAATTTCCTTCTCGTTATTGTTTAACCGTTTCCCAATCAATAATTTTCGTAATTCCGGTTTCAATAAGGTAAAATTTTTTATTGCACGAACAACATCATTTTCCTCATAATCTAATTTACATAATTCGATATTGTACCTGTCGATACAATAATACAATAATATTTAGTATTGATCAAATATCGAAATCGTGTTTGTATTGATAGATTAAAATGATTTTGAAAAAGAATCATTGCATAATTTTAATGCGATCTCATACTTACATATTTTTAATTTCATTAAAAAATTCATTAATTTCCGATTTTAAAATATCAGATTTAAAACAAATTGCACGCAGTTTCATCTTCGAACAATGTCGCAATTTATTGCAAACGACACGAGCAAGATGTATCATAATGATCGATTCTTCGCTACCATCCAAATATATCCAAATTTCTTCAGGTTTCTCATAGTAATTTCTACAAGGAGAAAAAGAGAAAGAAAACAAAGAAAAATTCGATGACGTTTTATAATCAATTACGAATAATCGATACTTTTTCCACTTGTAGAGGCATTACACGAATTTCTTGAAGGAACATTCATAAACTGATCGATGTTGGGACTTTTCAATCAACATTTCGTACTTCGATAAGCAATCCTCATGCGGTGTCCGATCATAATCTACCAAAATATTTGACGGTATACGATCGCAAAACATTTTCTTTGCCTTTTCAATGTCGTTTTCATTCTCACTTTCAATAATTATACGCACTTTGTAATACCTATGAAACGTTTTTAATTTTCTATTAATTTCTTAAAACATACGATATATATATATACGATTCGTAGTTCTATTTTTTATTGTATATTATTTACCTGTTACGTTCCGGATACGAGCCAAAAGTAACATTTGAATATTCTAATGCAACTTTGCGTAAAATATCTGCGAACGATTCTTCTTTCGCATTTATATAAATTTCGGTTGTTGCGAATTTTTTACAACAAGTAAAATATTCCTACAAAAAATGATATTGTTATTTTCTATTGTTTCTCTTATTATATTGTAGTTCGCTTAAACAAGTATTGTATATTATTATACCTTGCACAATGTTTGAAAAGATTTTTCAAAAAATATAGGTGATCCAGGAAATATATAAACATTTTCTATTATTACGTATGGATAAGTGAGCTTTTGGCCTGTAACTTCGTCTCTTCCAAATTTAAGTACAGATTTTGTTGGTATCTAAAATTATGAGACAAGATTTATTTTGATTATTACTTTGATTATCACTTATATTTCCCATTTTCATTATTACTTACGTATGCCATTTTATAAGCAGGTAAAGGAAATGTTCCAAACAAGTCTTGCAAGTCAAAATAATTTTTTATAATATCCACTAATGTTGGATGATAATGCAATGTATCGTTAAAAGCTAATGCTATAGCTGTAAAATATGATTTCATTAGAAAAAAGTATTTATTATATATTCTTAAAATTTTGAGAATTAAATTTAACCTTCATATGTAAGATCATCGTGAGTTGGTCCTATACCACCTGATGTAAAAACATAGTTGAACATTTTAGAAAAGTATTTTATTTCTTTCGCGATATCTTGAAGATCATCTCGTACGATTGCAATCTGAAAAAATAAATAAATAAATAATCAAAATAGAAATTATTAACAGCAAAATTATACTCACTTTTTGAACTTTGACTCCATATTTATAAAGCAGCTTACACGCATAGAAATAATTGGTATCTTTTACTTGCGCTTTTAAAATTTCATCTCCAATTACTAAATAAGATCAATCAAAATCACAATTTAATCTCAATAAAAATAGAATATGCATGATATTTATATATATATATATATATACATATATATATATATGTATGTATAATGTTACCGATTATTCCAGCAGTTGGATGTCCTTCGCTACTTTTCAATCGAATTAATGTCCAATTCATGGTCATTTGCCAATAACGTTTCAATAAAGTTTTTACTATGTATCGATGTAAATTCATCATAACGTTTTAACCTTATCATTAACAAGTATATATACAATGCAACGGATAATGCTAAAAAATGATATCCTACACAGCGCCTCCAACTTGAACATCCTTCAACAATACAATTTGATTTGTGTACACTACGATTTATAATACATATGCATGTATATGTATATCTATTTATCCTATATACATATATACTAGATTTACGAATATATTTTTGTCCATCTTTCAATTATTATTAAGAACTTACATATTGTTGCATAAAGTCATTTGATTATTCTAATTATTATATATATATATATATATATATATATATGTACGTATTTTTAATGTTATTATTTTTTTATTTAATTAAATTGAATATCTCTATTCATTGCTTTAAGTTTTTTTAAAAATAGTTTCTTTTTTTTTATTATATAGTATTATATAAAAACAATCTTAATTAAAATTGAAATAAAAGGAAATGAATCTTAAAAGATTTTACATCTTGTTTACATTTTCACTAACATATTTATATAAAATAACAATATATTATTTATAATATTTACTAGTATTTTTCATCGTTTCTACATTAAGATGGCTAGTGCAACATTACGAGAAGCTGCTTTAAAATCGCCGAGACAGTTGTACAAATTTTTATTGCGAGAATGCGAAAAATTGCCAAAGGAAGCACAAGGATTTTATAGACATTCGGTTAAACAAGTAAATTCTATATTATCAATTTTCATATCGTTAAATATATTTAAAGATCATATATTAATCACATTGGTATTTAATACTTGTAGAATATTTCACATATAACCTATTTTATTTTTTCACTGTTTTCACTGTTTTCACTGTTTTCATTATTTGTAGAATTTTAAACAACATTTAATAGAACCCGATAAGGAACGTGTTCAGCAAATTATGGAAAAAGCAATGCAAGATGCAGAATGGATAGTTAAAAAGGTAATAAATTTTCATCAATGTTTTCATCAAATAATAATTTTTAATAGTTTTTAATATTTTTAATAATTTGATTTTTTTTTCTTATATATATATATATATATATGTATATTCTAATAATATAAATTTTTCAATATGATTTTTAGTACACTAAACCAAAAGGAACAAAGTAATAAATATGCAAAGATATTATCAGCATTGTAGATACATTCTGTAATTTATTCTTTAGTAAAGGAAGAATTTGTAATTGTTCTATTCAAGACATGGATTTCAAAACCATAATAAATGATCAAAATGAAATTAGTGCATCACAATTTTTGAAAGCTATTGATATATGGTGTCGTAACCCTCAAATTATAAACCGTAGAATTCTAGCATCTATTGAAATATTGAATATTGAAATTAATTATGATATTTTTAAAATTTCCAATTATATTAATACTTTGGATGTTTCGATCTTAGGTATAAATCACCAAAAAGATGATATTGATAATAGAACATTATTGGATGCATTGCACATTTTTAATCAAGTGGCTATTACAACAAATATAAATGAAAAAGTTCATTTATATGTGACAAAACAATTGCCACGTATGCCATATATATTTTCTACTGGTATTGAATTTTTTTTAGTGAGCAATGAAAGAGGTTGTGTAATAAATATTCACAAACCCTTTCTCGTACATAAACAATCTCTCGGTACCAGAATGCCATTTATGTTACAACAAGGAACAGATGGTTACATATCCATTAGTGTCCATCAAGTAAATAATATTATGTCCGATTTCAGCATTGAATGGTTAAAGAAAAAACTTCTTCCGTGTATCCTGAAATGGGCGAAAAGCGAATCCGGAATCCGGACACCGATCTCGTTATCTTCATTGAATTTCGTATCAACTGAAAAATATGCAAAATTATATTGCAAATTGAAAGAAAAATATGGTATAAAATTGATAAAGAATTGGCCTGAGAATACAGATCCAATAAAATTTGTTTATGAAGATATTGCAATCGCTACTTATTTATTATTATTATGGGAAAAAGAGAGATTTGAGAAGGGAATTAATGATTTACAATCGTTTCTCGATTTGGGATGTGGTAATGGTTTACTCGTACATATTTTATTCAGTGAAGGTCATCGTGGATTAGGAATTGATTTACGAAAAAGAAAAATATGGGATTTGTATCCACTTGAAACTCCATTACAAGTATGTATAAATTTAATAACTATTAGATTTACCGTTTGAAAATTTGTTATTTTGTCTATATATATATATATATATACATAAAAATATCTATATATATATATATACATAAAAAGAATGAAATATAATTAATGAAATTCACTAACTAATTTTATATAGGTTTGTACCATTGTTCCATCTTCTGAAACGGTATATCCGGAAGTAGATTGGATTATAGGGAATCATTCGGATGAATTAACACCATGGATTCCTATAATTGCTGCACGTAGTTCTAGCAATTGTCGTTTCTTCTTATTACCTTGTTGTTCGTATGAACTTAATGGAACAAAATATCAAAGATATTGTGCCTCTAAAAGTCAATATTCTGAATACATTGATTATGTGAGAAGTATATGCGTTCAATGTGGATTCACGACGCATCTTGATAAATTAAGAATTCCTTCTACTAAACGAATATGCCTGATTGGATGGGAAAGAACATATGAAAATGTCAAAAATTTAGAAGATCGTATTAAACAAATATTAAGTGCAAAAACAACTTTAACTAAACAAAAGTATGAATCGAATAAAAAAATCGGTGGTACGATGGAAGAATGGACTTGTGATTTTAAGCCACGGGACAAAGTAGAAAAAGTACGAAATTGCACGCAGTTAGACAAAACATTAATTACGAATATTGTTAATATTGTATCAAGTCAGTTACTTCACGAAGGTTGCACTATATATATCGAAGGAACGTCTAAAAAATTTTGGAATGCTGGTAGATGTCTTGAACTGCGTGAAGTCGCTAAATCAATTCCAAAAGAAGTTATGATGCACTTGCGAAAAGAATATGGAGGTCTTCAAACTTTATTAAAAAATCACAGCCATATATTTCGTGTTGCTCAAGGAAAAGTAGAATTTAACATACCTGGAATAGAAAGAATTAATGAAAAATCGAAAAAAAAAAAATTATCGTTGCCACAAAAAAAAACTAAATCTTGTTGGTTTTATGAAAATCATCCGAATGGTTGCCCTGCAACTGAAACAAAATGTAATTACAAACATTAATATAATAATTTTATTAACAAAGAACAATTGTTTTAATATTAAAATGTAATATTAATATTACACGTTAAAAATTTATTTTCACTTTCATACAAATCGACGAATTTTATACATTGGACGCGATTAGATTATATTTATTCGTAAAATATTACGAACCAATTATTTAACTGTTATATTATTGGAAGAACATCGAATATTTATTATTGTCTCTATCATTTCATCGACATTCTGAAATTATCAAAGTCGTCACAGTTAATGAAAAAGTAAATCAATAATAATTTGTACCGGTTGCATATCATTCCTTAAGAAGTTCAACAAACGATATATTATCTAGATTTAAATTCTTAGTTTCGATTGTGTTTTCTTGATTATACGTTTTGGGTAAGAAAGATTGACGCACGCGATTCCATTTCTTCGTGTCGACAGTATCCAATTGATGAACACGTTTCACATGTGTTCGAAGATTGCCTTTTTGCGTAAAGGAATATTCACAATACGAGCAAGCATATGGACGATCACCAGTATGATGTTTCTGATGCATCTGTAAAGTTGATTTTTGAGCAAATGATTTTGTACATAAATCACACTTGTATGGCCTTTCACCGGTATGAATTCGTTTATGTCTTTCCACTTGATAAGGTTTTGTAAATGTTTTCCCACAAATGTCACATTCTTTCTTGGATGAATTCCCTTTAATTGCTACTTTATCCGATACTGTTGGCAACGCCTTTTGCGCAGGCATCTTTGAAAATGATTGATCTAACTGCGGTGTCAGCGTTGGTACCGTTAAAAGACAATTACTCGATGGTGTCTTTAACATTAATTCTATATGATTTTCATTCTTATTAGTATTTTCATTATTAGTATCGGATGCTAGACTAGATGTTGTCAATGTACACTCAGCATCGGAAATTATAGTCGGTCGATGATGCAAATTGTCATTTGACGATTGTGGAAGTAACGATTCTTCGGTTTGAATGGTAACAAGACCATTTGTTAAAAGAAAATGTAAATTAGTAACTAAATGATTGTTTTCATTTATCGATACAATTGTTTGATTGTTGTTTGACGCGACACCTTCCGTGTCGAAGTTAATTTGATCGGATAAACAGGAAGCAGCTGTTTCAATACTATATGCATCCAAATGGGAAATTAATCCTGTTTGCGAAAGCTGTTCCTGTGACAGTTGTTGCTTTGTATCAAAGTTGTTTACCTCCTTCTCTTTTCTGTCACATTTTTCAAGATTAGCTGCCACTTCGGCTATAGCCGTAACTTTTAAATGTTTTTGTTTCCTTTTTGGATTATCTTTGTATTCACGTGCATGTTTCAATAAATGCACTTTTCTATGACCGGAAGTTCGAAATCTCGAATCACAAATAGGGCATTTAAATGGTTTTGAACCTTTAAAAAAAAAAAAAAAAAGAAAAAAAAAAGAAAAAAAGAAAAAAAATGCGAAATCAAACGATTTACGAAAATATACGAAAAACAGTTAAAAATATATAACATGAATATTCTTTCTCGAAATAAATTTTTTATAATTAATCATTCCACTTACCTGTATGTAAACGCATATGAACTTTCAAACTACCTTTAGTCGCAAATAAGCTGTTGCATACGTGACAACGAAATGTTTTTTTTCCAGTATGAACTTTCGTATGTGAATCCAAAGTACATTTTACAGCGAAACTTTTATTACAGTAATTGCACTTGTACGGTCGTTCTCCTGTGTGTGTACGTGTATGTCTTATGAGATCACTTGGCTTGCGAAATGTTTTCGGACAATATTTACACTTATTCGTATACTCCTTCCGTTCCTTTTCCTCGACCAAGATATTCTATATGACATGTATATAAAAATTTTCGCTGAATAATCCTTTGTTATTTCTTCTTTTTTTTTTTTTTTTTTTTTTCATATTGTTGTAACAACTTACTTCCACTCGATCCATTACTTCTTTTTCTGCTACCGTATCTAACAGAACTTTTTCCGAAACTGCAGAATCTGTATCTATTATGATATTCAAAGATGAATGACCATTTACAACTGGTTGCATTTCCGATGAAAGCGTTGAATTTTCTGTCGTGCTATTTATTTCTGATGCATTCCATATTGGAATCTCATGAATTTTAGAGTGCGATTGCAGTTCGATTTTATCATTAAAATATTTGTCACACGACGAACATTTATATAATCTATATATATATATATATATAAAAATGAAAAGTAAAAAATAAAAATGATTAATCATAATCTACGCTAAAATAATTTTTCAAATCACTCACTGTTTAATAAAATGAATCTTCGAGTGTCTATTTAATCCAGCATTTGTGTAAAATTTTGAAGAACATTCCGTACATTGATATTCTTTTGTTCCACGATGGCTTGTCAAATGTTCCTAATATCAAAAAAATATCTTTATTTGATTTTAATTATATTTATAATTATGATAAATATAAAAAAAAGAATCCTACAAAGAAAGAAAATATTTATTGCTTATTTAGAAATATTTACTTTTAATGCAATTGTTGTGAATCCTTGTTGGTTACACATATGACATTGTAATAAAGATTGCCCACGAGATATTTTACTCGTAGCGACTTTAATTTCTGCAACATCGGATGACAAACTACGCGTATTCGGTTGAGTCTTGAAATTTTGCGATGTTTCTCGAAATTCTTCTCTATGCATATTAAATATTTGTTTATTTTCAATTTGTCCATCAAAAATCATATATATTATAGAAAATTTTTGTTTTCATGTAATATATAATATATATATATATTTATATATATATTATATAAAACAGATATTAAGCAATTAACTTACGTAAAGAATATCGGGTTGATTGTACATTGCTTATGGATGATATTGCTCTTGTGAGTTTCTTCTATTGCAAATTTATCTTCTATCCCCTCTTTTCTAGGAAGATTTTGCTGAGAAACAAATACCACTGCTTGCATACCAGATCTCTCTGTTTGTTCAACGTTTGTATTATCTGATGTCGTAACACAAACAGAAAGTTCATGTTCATTTTTCATATTTCTAGGCAATATACTCGCCATATTAGTTGAATTTCTTGTATCTAAACCGATGTCGATTTCAGCGTCCGACTGATATAAATAAAATTATTATTCTTTCAATTCTTTTTCTTAGTAAAGATTCATAGAAGGCAATATTTTTTTTGTCTTACTTGCAAAGCAATATGATCCATCTCAAATGAATCTAATTGTGACGAAAAAACATGTTCTCTAGATGTTTCTACATTACTATTACTATTATCGCTATTATTATTTTCATATATTACATTCATTACAGGCTGTTGTTCTTTCATATGATCGAAATCATTCGTATTTGTATTATTCGAATGTCTCGTCTGATTACTCCCTAAATTAAGATTCATTCCTATATTAAAAAATTGTTGATTCAATGTTTCTTCTATTTCCCGTATGCTTTCCTGCAATCAAATATAGATTTATATCGAAAACTAATCGCATTTCTTTTATTTAGTTTATTGGCAAGTTAATAACCATTATTGGCAAATTATAACCACGATATATAATATACATACTGGTGTAAGTGTCTGATCTCCGGAATAAATCGGCAATGTAACTGAACCAGCTTCATCGGCGTGTAATATCTGTGAATTTTCAAGACTCGTTACAGCTATTCCCGATATGTTCTCTAAAAACAAAAAGGGACAAGAAAAGGGGGAAGGGGGAGAGAGAAAAGTATATATAAGTGTATATATTTACAATTTAAAAAATAATTTTTTGATATTTAAAATATATAAAAATTTAAAACGTACGATTAATAAATGTTGTAGCATCGCAATTTGTTGGTAAAACTGCTCTTATTTTTTCTTTTTCTTCACTTATGTTTTGAAACTCGGGAAAAGTTTGTGAAAACTCTGACCCAAGTTGTGATTGAAATGATAATTCAACTGATCCAAGTCGAGAAAGTACAAGATTATCTGAAAATGTAGAAGAGGATGTTGTGACGATAGCGGGAGTAGTAGTAGTGGTAGCAATATTGGTGGTAATGGTGGAATTAATAGTTGTGATAGAGACAGAAGAGGAACAAGACGATTCAAGAGCCGCTTCCTGTTTAGAATTTTCCTTTAAATTCAATTTATCTGAAGACTGTTCTTGAATTCTGATTTTCTGTTGTTCCAGTTGCTGTAAATTCAAAAAAATATAATAATGTTTCATTATTATTGACCAATTAATCCAATTTTTATTTTCTTTTTTTTTTCCATAAGATACTATACCCGTTGTACCAATTCATGTTTATGTATTTTCATATGTTTCCGACAATTGACGTAAGTTTTAAAAGTTTTGTGACAATATGGACACATGAACGGTCTTTTATTACTGTGTGTAACCATGTGTCTTTTCATGCTGCTTTGCGTTGAAAATTTTGCATTACAAATTGAACAACCATATGGTCTCGAATCCTCATGAGTATGCAAATGTGATTTTAAAACGCTATTCGATGTAAATCTCCTGAAATGATTTAGTTATATATTAATTATTTGTTCATCAAATTAGATATTTTTATACTGATGCATTAGAAAAAAAGCATAATAAGAAATTCATTGGATGCATTTTTGAAAATGAAAAAAAATATTTGTAAATTATATATAGATATATACATATATATATACCTATCGCATTTTGTGCATTTATACGGACGTTCTCCTGTATGACGACGATGATGCTGCTTTAAATGACTAATCTTTCTGAATGCTGCCTGACAAATCCAACACTTGTGCGGTCTGGTTTGATCGATAGTTCCGTCATAAGCACGTTTTTCTTTTGAAGATATTTGTGCTACACAAATTTTGTTTCCCACATCATTAATTAGCAACGGTTCTTGTAAAATTACTTGAGGTACTAGAGTTTCTGCTTCTTGTGATAATTTTGATTTATTTTTTACTTGAATTTTCGATTGATTAGTAGAATGAATATCAGTATCAATTGTGATATGCATATTGGAATCCTTATTATTATCAGATTTTGCGTGTAATCTATTATAAAATGTGTATATTTGAAATTCATCAATTCTATTATAATAAAAAAAAAGGAAC